ATAATAGAAGTGTTATTTGGTCTAGGAACTAATTTTCAAACATTGTTTCTTTGAAAATTGTTTAATTCTTCATGCATGGCTAAAACCCAAAACTCATCTTTCAAAGCATCATCAATACGTTTGTGTTCTATTTGGGATAGAAAAGCTACATTACCATATTCGCTCATAGTTTTTGAGCGAGTCAAGACGCCTTTGGATGGGCTCCCTATAATTTGGTCTTTAGGATGATCCAGTGCAAATTTTCAATCTTTAGGGAGTTCTTGATTTTGTTCGTTATTGCTCTCCCCATCATTTGGTTCTACCGTTGAGTTTTTTTTCCTTGAGTTGCAAAAGATCCATTTGTTCCTTAATCGCATCATCATCCCTAGGCAAACCATCTTGAAAACCAATATTAGATTCATCAAAAGTAACGTTTATAGACTCTTCAATAACGAGAGTTCGTTTGTTGAAAATCCTATAAGCCTTATTTCTAGGAGCATATCCCAAAAATATACCAATATCAATTTTAGAATCAAACTTATCATGGTGGTCTTTAGTATTTAAGACAAAACATTTACAACCAAAAATACGAAAGTATCCAATTTGTGGAGTTTTGCCATAAAGAAGTTCATAAGGAGTTTTCTTGAGAGATGGTCTAATTAAAACACGATTTAAAACGTGGCAAGCCGTGTTAACGGTTTTCGCCCAAAACTATTTTGGCAAAACATAAGAATTCATTGTGCGAGCCATCTCTTGTATGGTTCTATTTTTCCGTTCAATAATACAATTTTGTTGGGGTGTCCTTGGAGCGAAATATACATGAGTTATACCACGATGTGCACAAAAATCATTAAAGAATTTGTTTTGAAATTCTCCACCATGATCACTTCTAATTTTAACAACTTTTGAATCCTTTTCATTTTCAATTCTTTTTACAAAATGAGAAAACTCTTCAAAGCATTCATTTTTACTAGCAAGAAAGATTACCCATGTAAAACGAGAAAAATCATCAATAATAACAAAAACATAGTGTTTTCCTCCCAGAGAGGCAACACGCATGGGTCCAAAGAGATCAAGATGCAATAATTGTAAAGGTTTAGAAGTGGATACATCATTTATGGATTTGATGGAAGATTTAGTTTGTTTACCTTTAGCACATTCCTCACAAGTAGAATTCTTAACATAAGATAGATTTGGTAGGCCTCTCACTAAATTCTTCTTGGATAGCTTAGATATGAGTTTCATGTTAGCATGTCCAAGTCTCTTGTGCCAAATCCAAGGATCCCCATCTACCGCTGTAAGGCATTTTACATCTTGATCTAAAAGCTCATTCATCTCAAAAATATAAATATTAGATCTTCTAAAAGCAACAAAAATGGTTTTGTTATTTTTACTAATAATACATTTGTCCGGTTTAAAAATGATGTCAAAGCCTTTGTCACTTAGTTGACTAATGCTAAGAAGATTATGGTTTAACCCTTTAACAAAATAAACATCTTCAATTACGGGAGAAGGTTTCTTACTAATAGAACCGATTCCTATGATTTTACATTTCTCGCCGCCACCGAAGGAGACATTGCCTCCTTCAATCCTTGATAGGGTTGCAAATAAATCCTTGTTGCCCATCATGTGATGAGAGCAACCACTATCAAGGTACCACAACTCCTTACGTCTTGTGCGAAACGTTCCCTATATGTGAATAAGTTGTAGAACCTTTATGTACCCAAGCTTTGGGTCCTTGAATGTTAGTATTTTTGGTATCCTTGGGTACCCACATTAGTTCATAATTATTAATGTTATTTTTAATCCTACAATGAGTAGAGATATGACCATGTCTCATACAATATGTACACACAAATTTTTTCTTATATGTAGGAGCATGAGATTTATGATACCATTTTCTATTCACATAATGATGACTTGAATAACCATGATTAGATTTTATTTTATTGTTTTCAATTTCCAATCTTTCAACCTTAGATCTTAGTTGCTTATTTTCAAAATCTAGATCTCCTATCATTTCATCTTTTAAAGCAAGAGATGATTGTAGTTGCTTAAACTTAGAGTCACAAGAAATATGCAATTTTTTAAAAGAAGAATATTCTTTTGCTAATCTTTTGAACTCAAAATTTAATTCTTCTAAAGCCGCTTCAGCTCACATTGCATATAAATTGATTCACTTTCGGTTTCGGATTGTATCTCATCTTCATGAGCCATGAAACAAATGTTTGGGTTATGAAGAGCAATCTTGGCACCCTCATCATCGCTATCCGAATCGCTAGATTCAGATTCATCCCATCCGGCATACATTGCCTTCTTCTTCTTATATTTTAAATATTTCTCCTTGAGCTTGAGACAATCCTTGGCTAGGTGACCCGGTTCATTGCATTCAAAACATTTACCTATACGAGGAGAAAATTTATTGTTAGATCGATTATTGAAGTTTTTGTTCATTTTAATTAATCTTGATATTCTTTTAGAGAGGTGTGCTACTTCTCTAGAAACATCAACTTCACTATCCGAGGAGGATGAATCATCAATTGCTCCCTTGAGTGCAATGGACTTCTCTAGAAACATCAACTTCACTATCCGAGGAGGATGAATCATCAATTGCTCCCTTGAGTGCAATGGACTTTGATTTTTGGGGTGGCTCCTCGGTTGCCTTTGTGGGTGTTTCTTCCTTCTCTTTGACCTTCTTCTCATGGACCTTGAGTTTGCCAATAAGTCCATCAAGAATGAGAGTTGAGAGATCATGAGGTTCTTCGATGGTCGTAGCTTTAGGTTCCTAAGCCGACGTCAAAGAGCGAAGAATTTTGTAGCACAATCTCTTGATTTTCCAAGACCTTGTCAAGACCATGCAATTCATTTATAATGTTAGTGAACCGAGAAAACATAGAATCAATGGATTCACTTGGAAGCATTTTATATAGTTCATAATCATGCATGAGTCTACTAATCTTAGATTCTTTCACTTGGGGGTTCCCTCATGGGTAATGCATAGTTTCACCTAAATCTCGTGTGCGGTTGCACACGTAGAAACTCTCTTGTACTCATTGGGGGTAAGACCACAAATTAGTTCATTCATGGCCTTGATATTTAGGTTGGCTTGCTCTCTTTCATCCTCGGTCATTTTACTACTTGGCTTCTTAACATACTTCTTTTCAACAATATCTAGAATGTCAAGATCAATGCATTGTAAATAAATTCTCATCCTAGCTTTCCAATATGCAAAGTTGCTACCAGTGAAGAGGGGTGGTCTAGTGGTGGATTGTCCTTCTAGCATATGCATGTTCATTGAACCCTCCATAATAATCTTTTCTCTAAGGGTTTTAATCCTAACACAAGTAGAGACCTTGCTCTGATACCAATTGAAAGGCCCTAGAGGGGGGGGGGGGTGAATAAGGTTTATGGATGAATAAAAAGCAATTAAAACTAATTCCAACAAGCCACACACAAAAAAAAGTGCAATAACAATAATAAGAGAGTAGGGATAGAAATAATTAGCCAATTGATGACGCGCGATGTGTTCACGAGCTTCGGTCCGCTGACCTATGTCCCCGCTCCTCACTCTCGAGGAGAAATCCACTACACACCCGGTTTGGAAGTCAAAACTTCTTCTACACAACGATCTCCTTTGAGATCTCACAACTACACAATAGATCTCCACGAGATCAAGCTCACAACAGTCACAATTAGAAGAAAAGCTCTCTCTTTACAGTAGGCCTATGGCAAGAAGAGAGATTGCAGTTGAAGCTTGGGATGTGAACTCAGAACCAGTGAGAGCAAATGAAAGTTAAGGCTCTTTGAAAACAATAAACTTAAACTCGGAGTAATTTGCAATGAAAGCTTGGTTACTGAGGTAGGTGGGGTGGTTGGGTATTTATAAGGAGAGAATACTACAGTTAAAACCCCAAGAAACCAGACACAATCCCAAGAAAAACGGATTTTTAAAACAGTACAAATATAGCCGTTACAGTGTTATGGTTCGACTCTTACTTTTCATGAGTCAACTTATAAGTAGCCGTTACAGGCTGAAAATCAGCTTATGGGGTCGACTCATAAAATTTATGAGTCGACTCATCATTCATGGGTCGACTTATTAAGTCATGGGTCGACTCAGCAAAAGCAAAACACATATTCCAGCGCAGTTCATGAGTCGACTTATGACAGACATGAGTCGACTCAACCTGACGGGTCGACTCATGATGTTGTGAGTCGACTCATCAGAAGCAAATTGAGAACTACGCAGCAGTTTGTGAGTCGACTCAATATTGTTCATGAGTCGACTCATAAACATGCACACAGAAAAAATTAACTTTGAGCCTTGTTAAAAATAATCAAATAAACTCAGAAAAATGTAAAACTTAGCGAATGGTTTATAAACATTTTGACATACTTGTTTGAAAAGGAATTTTGCAAAAAGGTCATCGTATTTGTGAGAAATATTATTTGACACAAGTACCACAAAATGAGTTTGAAAGAGTATAAGTGTGTGTGTGATATCCGAAAAAGCTTCAAATGAAATCTACAATTACTTGCCTACATTTAAGTACTAGAGAGAAAATAAAATAGCAAATATCTCTCACATAGAAATACATTTCTTGAGTCTTGATATTGCTTTGAGTTGATGAAGCTTCTTTATTGCATATGATGTTCTTGTTAAACGTTGCCTCATCACTTTGCCTCCGCCTCCTTTACATATCATCGTTGTAGCTCATATTCCATCCAATCCTCCATTACACTCCTTTACATATCATCGTTGTAGCTCATATTCCATCCAATCCTCCATTACATAGTGCTAATGAATTGTAATCTACAATATAGCTCAATACCCATCCAATCCTCCATTACATAGTGCTAATGAATTGTAATCTACAATATAGCTCAATACATGATTAGCAACAATAATGGTGTTTGTAAATCATCATCAAAATAAAGGACCTAACATATTCTGTGTTCTACTCTATGGTAGTTATATATCCTTAACTTATTTTTGGTTTTTCACTCCATTGAGCTCTCAGGAAATTCGTGGAATCATTCTGAAGATGGAAAAAATTCTGCTGCTTGTGCATTAGAGGCAGAGGTAATCAGGCAGTTTGGTTTTTTGCATGAAAGCAACAATGTGTTTTAGACATTTCTGTTTATTCTGGGATTGTTTATGCATGTACCTGTTATACAGTCTTCTCATGATGCATGTGAAACTCCAAAGGAATCCGAATCCCCCCGTTTTAAAGAGATAATGCAGGCTACAAGTGCACCTAGGAAAAAGTTTCCTGGCGATATAAAAAGTTTTTCTCATGAGTTGAATTCTAAAGGGGTACGCCCATTTCCTTTCTGGAAGCCCCGGGGTTTATATAATTCCAAGGTAACAGCACGCTACATTTCATTGAAGAATATTTCTCCTTTCCATTTATTAGATGATGATGTGGTTCTTTTTTACACTGTGGTACTCTATTCTAATTGTTCTGCATCTTTTACACTATTACTCATTGCACATGGATACTTTGAAGAGAATCATCTATTCTTTCTCATTCTCTCTTTGCTCTATACAGGAGGTATTGAAAATCATTCAGGTGAAATTTGAAAAAGCAAAGGAAGAGGTGAACTCAGATTTGGCTGTATTTGCAGGGGATTTGGTTGGGATAATGGAAAAGCATGCAGAAACCCATCCCGAGTGGAAAGAAACTTTGGAAGACTTGCTATTACTTGCTCGAAGCTGTGATGTTATGACACCTGGGGAATTCTGGCTACAGTGTGAAGGCATAGTTCATGATTTGGATGATCGACGTCAGGAGCTTCCCATGGGTGTGCTGAAGAAACTTCACACTCGCATGCTTTTCATTCTAACGAGATGCACAAGATTGCTTCAGTTTCACAAGGAGAGTGTATTTGCTGAAGATAAACTGGTTATGGATCTCCGGGACCTTCATTCTGCTGATAAAAAGATAAAATCTGGACTAGGGAAGGATAGCAAAGACACTGTTGTTACGAGGAGCTTAACTGAAGCAGCTTCATCAAGGAAGTCGTATAGCCAGGAGCAACATAATTTAAAATGGAAAAGAAGCCAAGAGATAAAACCTGTAAATTTCTTCTCACAGCATGACAGTGTAATTGCAAAAGAAGAGGAGTCTCCAAACAGAGAGCGCATAGCTTCTTGGCGGCCTCTTCCTTCTCCTGTGCAGAAAAGCCAGAAAGAAGCTAGGCCCATCAAAGATGACCCGTCTAACAAGAAAGAGGATCCCTCTTGTATTTTAAATAGGGGGGGAAATGCTGATGCCAACCAAATTGTAATTAATCAACCTGAGTTATCCTGTTCTGTAGATTCTAATGTTCAAACTTCTGGTCCTCCCAAGCATCAGCGCAAGTTTTCTTGTGGAAACTGGGATCAACAGAACTTTTCTGAGGAGGGGTCAATAATGTGCCGCATATGTGAGGAGTATGTTCCTACGCTGTATGTGGAGGATCATTCAAGGGTTTGCACAGTTGCTGACAGATGCGACCAGAAGGGTTTATGTGTTGATGAACGTTTCCTCAGAATTGCTGAGACCCTGGAGAACATGATAGAGGTCTGTACACAGAAAGACCTGCCTAATGCCGTTGGAAGTCCAGATGTCTCAAAAATGTCTAGCTCAAGCATGACCGAAGAGTCTGATGTCATTTCTCAAAAGCTTAGTGACTGGTCCAGGAGAGGATCTGCTGATATGACTGATTGTTTCCAAGAGGCAGATAACTCCATTTTTGATGACATGAAGAATCTCCCGCCAATGACATGCAAGACCCGGTTTGGTCCAAAATCAGATCAAGGTATGGCCACCTCATCTGCGGGCAGCATGACTCCTCGCTCTCCTCTAACGACGCCTACGCCGAGTCATATAGACATGCTTCTAACTGGAAAAGGTGCACTTTATGAAACAGAAGATCTTCCACAGGTAGTTCCTACAGCATCAAATATGTTCTGTTTCAATCTAATTAGTGCTATTTTCTTCATTGTTTAATTGGAATCTTGTTCCCTTCTGTTATACACATTGGATTGTGTTCATCATAGTTCCCATTGCAAGTATTTGTTATGTTTCCACTTTACCTAGTTATTTCTGGTTTATTGCATGGTTGGTCCCCCATTTTTATAAAATTTAGACTGTATGAACAATAAGGCGGATTTTACTACCCACTGAAAGCCTTACAAATTGCGAGTGCCATTGCAGCACAATGACAAATTCACTTGAAATGGTGCAAGGGGTATTGCGTCTGAAACCCCCTTGCATCACACTTAATTCCATGATTCGGAAAGGGGGAAGAAAACAAATTATTGAAAGAAAAGAAAGCCTTATAAATCTAGTGATCATCCTGTAGGGTTCACAAGTTGCTCGACCCCAGTTAGGCCTAACTAAGCTTGGCTAAAAGTCTGGCAAAGCAGGCATCTGCTTTAACTTTACCACTAGATACATGTCTTTCATTAATTTTTAGAGAAAGAACTAACTTCCATAAGTTAATTGATTCTTCAAAAGTAGGAAATTTAATGTATCTATATATGGTTGTGAGGTTGGTTTAACTATTGCCTACCATCTTTGTCAGAAGGAGAAATTTTTGAAAGAGACTAATTTTTAAAACAATTTTTTGCTAAATATTTAGCAAAATTGACCTCTTTTTAGCCAGCTCACCAATGCTGGTCAAAAAGAGGTCGATTTTACAAAATGTGAGCTTCAAAACACATGGGACTACAGGTCCTGTGTGTTTAGAGCTCACTAATCAGCCACTTAGTACACTCCAGAATTCTCATGAGTTTACTGTAGCAGAAACTAGAAAAGTGGCAGAATCAACCGACCGAACACCCTCTTGAAAAACGCCCAGCTACGCCCCAATGCCTTCTCCCCACCCTTTGTGGGACCCATTGTGCACCCATCTCACTGACCAAATATCCAAATCAAATTTTGATGCCACCTGTAAATGTTTGTGAGGTCAGTTGGCTTTTACTCTTTTCCCAAGTTGCAAATACCCAAATGAAACCCCTTTCACGAGTCACAAGGCATTTAATAATCAGAATTACTTTCTTTTGTTTTCTACTTTTCTTCTACCTCCACTTGGTACTTTCGGCCATGGCAGAAGCTTTTGTTTTCTTGGCTGCTACTGGGTGGTGAAGCACACGGGACTACTAGTCCCATGTGTATTAAGTATCTGATTAGCCAGCCTAAACACACGGGCCCGTGTGTTTTGAAGCTCACAATTTGCAAAATCGACTTCTTTTTAGCCACCTTGGTGAGCTGACCAAAAAGAAGTCAAATTTTCTAAATATTTAGCAAAACGGTTGTTTTTGCTAAATACTTTTCAAAATCGGTCTCTTTCAAAAAATTCACTTGAAATGGTGTAATGGGTATTGCTTCTGAAACCCCCTTGCATCACACTTAATTCCATGATTTGGAAAGGGGGAGAAAACAAACGGACCGAAGGAAAAGAAAGCCTTATAAATCTAGTGATCATGCTGTAGGATTCACAAGTTGCTCGACCCCAGTTAGGCCTAACTAAGCTTGGCTAAAAGTCTAGCAAAGCAGGCATCTGCTTTAACTTCATCACTTGATACACGTCTTTCATTAATTTTTAGAGAAAGTTCTAACTTCCATAAGTTAATTGATTCTTCAAAAGTAGGAAATTTAATGTATCTATCTATGGTTGTGAGGTGGGTTTAACTATTGCCTACCACATTTGTCAGAACTCAGAAAGGTAAACTGAGCTGTCATTTCTAATTGCATTGACCTTTGGATATGAATTCTTTGATTTTACTTACTGGAACAACACTCTTGCGTCTGAGGTCCTTGCTTACAGAGTCACTGATTTATAAACTATTCTTTGTTTAAATTTGGGGCTGGACATAAAAAACAGGGCTGGCATTTGACATTGAATCCTCACTTTCCCTCTATCTCGACTTAATGGCTTATCCATTTTTGGAGGGCCCTCCTTTTCCCATATTTACCATGGCCAGTGCTATCAGCCATCAGGGGTTATTGCTAGTTGCTATATTTCGTTCAGTTGTTTTTTTCTTTTTTTTTGTGTGTGGAGTTCTCCCTACTTTGAATCACATTCTTTGCCGACCCATTTATGGCGAAGGGCTCCTACAATGATAGTGTGTTTGCATTTAGATAAATTAATATGAACTACAAAGTACAAACTGAAGGAAGTGACAGTTCCTGTCTGGTTGCATCTTCTACATGCGCGCACACATTTATTTCCCTACTTTGATAAGTTCTGAACTATGAGATGTTTTCTTCTTTTGAGGATTAATATATGAAGGAATTTTCTGAAAAAAGAACTTCCACTGTCTTTGTTGATTCTGCATTTATTCATATCATCTTATTTGTTGATTTAATGTATTGCCTTACTTTTGAGAAGCTGCTCTCTGATCAAGCACTGAAGCACACATGATCCTGTTGACAGTTTTCCTACTAATATTTTGTGGATGCTATGCAAGCTGTTTATTATGTACTTCTTTATTGTTATGAGAAAGTCAACTCCTAAGCCATTGACAAATGATGCATAATCTAAATGCGCAGATTATTGAACTTGCTGATATTGCTCGGTGCATAGCAAATGCCGCAATTGATGATGAGCGTTCTCTACCTTATCTGGTTTCATGTTTGGAAGATTTACAAGAGGTTATAAGTCGCCGGAAGCTCGAGGCACTTACTGTACAGACGTTTGGGACACGAATAGAGAAACTTCATCGGTAGGCATAGCTTTGCAGCTTTTCGAGCATTTGCCACATTGAAGCCCAAGTTAACATTATGTATTGATCTTTTTATCAATTTGCTTTCTTTGATGAAATCACGCCAGAGTGAATATAATGCCATGCTTGTTTTATCAATTTGCTTTCTTTGATGAAATCGTTCCAGAGTGAATATAATGCCATGCTTGTTCTTTGCTCTTTGTTTAAATTTTATTTTGTTCAATATTGTAGGGAGAAATACCTGCAGCTTTGTGATGCAGTTGATGTTGAAAAGGTTGATGCCATAAGTACTGTGATGGATGAAGAACAGGATGTTGTCCGTAGCTTGCGAACAAGTCCCATGCACCCTATAAACAAGGACCGCACTTCTATCGATGATTTTGAGATCATAAAACCTATTAGTCGTGGGGCATTTGGCCGTGTCTTTTTAGCAAAGAAAAGAACAACAGGGGACCTATTTGCTATTAAGGTAATCCCTGTCGGCTTGCACTCTTTATCGTTTTCAAGATTTTAATCTTATGATAAGGCTGCAATAACGTTAATCAACCTGGAATTATTTTCCAGGTTTATTAGTCATATTCTACTATTTGGCTATAATCTGTAATAAAAACTTTGTTTTACTATTGTAGCCAAATTTTTGGGATGAGCTACATTAATCACATGTGTGTCTACATACACATATGTATAGACGCACATATGTATATTTAAATATGTAAATGTATGCATGCGGATATATAATAACGTGTATGTATTATGTAGATATGTATACAGATAGACATATCCATTAAGGTGCTTTCTGATCTTACCTTTTATGTGAAACATCCCCTAGGTTTATTGTGGTTAGTATATACTCTTTATTGAAATGACTATTCTAAAACTATGTAATTTTACATGAACAATGAAAGAAAGTGATTTCCATACATAGACAATCCATTAAATGTAGAAAATGTATTGTAAAATTTACATGCCAGAAGTGTCATACCTCCAAAAATAGCAGTAGGTATGCGATAGCAGCGACCAGTGCACAAGACAAGTCTCATGCACGTGTCAAGCCTGACACTTCATATTACCACTTCATATTACATAGCTTTTCTCAAAATATATAAATTTGCTGATGATAGAAGTTCAGAGCAACTATATATAAAATTAGTACCTACAATCTCAAAGCTTATTTGCTATAAGCATTTATCTAACCCAAACACGTCATTGGCTAAAGGGCAGAAGAGAGGTTTTCCCATATAACCCCTCCGAGCAAAATGTCATATCCAAAAAGCTAGCTTCTAACAAAGCTACTCATGATCTGGAAAAAAATGAAAACGAGATGAGCTAAAGCTCAGTGAGCACTTCTCACTAGAGTTCCTGGATATCTAACCAAAAAAAAAAAAAATCTTAGAAATAGTGAATTATAAGTTTTGCACCAATATTCTAAAACAAATAGCAAAATATGGTCCAAGAACAACATACTATTGTTATCTTCAAGAAAGAATATAATATTTTAAATTTGTTTCTTATATGCAAACTGAATACACTATAATAAATTCTAGAATCAGACTCTTTTGAAATCAAGGTAAATACTAGATAGAAAACAAACTATTAAATTTGCGCAAAACCAAATGCTATTTTCTCAAATTCACAGTCAAATGTTAGAATCTCCAATCTTGATGAGTTGTTCATGTAATGCAAGAATCCGGCTCTTTTGAAATCAAGGTAAATACTAAGAAAGAAAACAAACTATTGAATTTGTGCAAAACCAAAAGATTGCTATTTTCTCAAATTCACAGTCAAATGTCAGAATCTCCAATCTCAATGAATCAAAAGGCATCACATAACACATAGTTATTGGAAACAGAACACGTAACACTACCACAGACCGCCGACCACATAAAAAATGCCCAAAATGAGCCACATCACAAATGCCCAAAAAGGGCCACATAAAGATGCATTCAAACCATATGGTAGGCACAAACACATTAGTTTATAGTGGACTTTCGGTGGGTTTTGAAAACATCGAGAATTGCTTGCCAAACGACTTGATTTCGGAAACACGTCTTTTGTCAACTTACTTGATTTCAAAATCACTTACCAAATTGCTTATTTCCGAAAACACATTACTCGTCAAATTACTTGATTTCAAAAACGCGTCACTTTTGCCAAAATAATATTGGTATATTCACTCATCGGTATTATAAATACTTTAAATCAAGCGGACGAGCATAAATCTCATCATCTTAGTTAAAAAAATTACGGATTTCATTTTTCTCTATTTTTATCAAATACTAAGTCATGAAAAATCTTTGAATCCATTAAACTGTTGAAACCCATTCAAATTACTTATTTTCTTCAAAATGTTTCAAATAAAGCATTTTCACAATTAATTAAGATTGAATGAAACTAAAATCACTTATCACATTATATGTGAAATCAGATTTACTTTTATATCTTGTAAGAAATCAAATGAACTTACCTTATATTGTCAAAGTTTCTCAAAACGATCCCTCCTCAACATCAATCAGGTCATATGGTATAAGAAAACATAAGGTCAATACCAATTCAAGGTGGGCTTTCTTATACTATAGGCAATCACTTGATAGGCTAAGTCCAAATAGATCCATATAGCAGTCAAGACCCTTGAAAAGGTTCACATATGGTTTTCCACTAATTTTATAATACCTCTTTAAATATTTTGGACCTATTAACAGTTTATGAACATCTCATGGGGGTAGAAACCATTATCCATGTACACAACTCCTGAAAGCTTCAGGTTTTTATGATAACTTTTCACTATTAAAACACGCTTTATTTCACTTAGAAGGGTTTATTAATAGGGCCTAATAGCTTCAGGGATCTAATGAAAAATTTCTCCTCTTTATATTATCTTTTCTTTTTCCCTCTTCTCTATGTGCTCAACCCTCCTTTCTCTGTTATTTTTTATTCTTCTTTTTTTTCCTAGGCTACCACCAAGGCCATATTTCAGCCATGGGAGGTCGCCGGTGGAGGGGTTCCCGGCTACAGGATAGCCGGTGCTTGTTAGTGAGACATCGTTGGATCTAGAGTTAGCTTTTTATTTCTTTCTTCTTTTTTTCCACAAAATTATCTAAACTTTCAAATTCTAAATTCTTAGTCATTTGTAACAGTAACAGTTTCGGTTCGCTTCATAGTTTCACAAATTAATCAAAACAGATTAAAGGGAAAGAAGTCCCTGATCTTGGAGTGTACTATTTTTCTTTTCTCCTTTCTCTTTTCACTTCTTTACTCACCACTTTCCAACCAGATCTCAAACAGAGAGGTTAGTGTTAGAAGATTTGACCAAAAACCTATACTCTCTCCTTTGGTTCTCACGGTTAGAAGAGTTTGAGCTGACATTGTGAAGATTAATTTTACTATGTAGTTATTATAATTTTGAATTATAGAGTAGACATGTGTCCTCAGCCTCCACTCTCTTCTAATGAGATCTTTGGACCTCAACTATCAAATAGTCTCAATGTGCCAGCAAAACTCTTGAGGATAAGTCAAGGATAAATTTGCAAAAGACCTCCCAACTTTAAACTATTTGCACAATATCAACTTATAGAAATTGTTAAGCTTTGGGGACAAAGTTGGGTCACTACACTCTCCCCTCCTAATAAAAAGTTTCGTCCTTAAAACTTGAAATACCGCAATTCTCAAAGAGCCATGGAATTTTCCAAGTTGTTTTTCTCAAGAAGATATTCTTCCATTGTATTTCTATATATATGATACTTGAGCACCTAAACATGAGTCCTTTCCTTATGTCATGAAGGTAGCTCTTTTACAGATGTTGTGCAACATGAAGACTTTCGTTTGACTAGCTAAATATTATTAAAGAATTGTGGCACTAATTTTGGTCCAGAAAAGCTCTTCTTATGTCATTATTCTAAGGAATAAGAATTTTGTATTTCTTCCAGATAAGTGCTCATATCATGCTATATTCAACAGTGGTATAATTACTTTTATTGTATGACTTAGCTAAAGTTATGTAGTCTTTCCAATGATACACATTGCAAGCACAAAACATTGTAAAATATGCTCCAAGACTTGGTCTCCCTTTGTTTTCTCCTCTAACTGTCCATTCTTCTATGGATAGTAGTCTGAACCGAAATAATTTTGGTCGCTAGAGCCGTAAACACTTTCTTTTCCCTTGTTTGTGTGAACTTCGATTCTTTGTCCTATACCATTGACATAGATGTGTTCTACAATCTCACATCTCACAGATATATTCATTGTCAACCTTTCCATAGAAATTTTTTCCTGATAAACAAAGAATACGTACGCCATCAACCAGGTAATTATAATATATGTAGTATCATTCAGTTTCAAAGATTTTCGAAGCTATAACAAAGTCCATGATGATCCTTTCACATTTCCAAATTGGTATATTCAAATTTTGGATAAATTTGGTTGGTCTTTGGTGTGCTGTCTTCAATTGTTGACACGTCAAATAGTCCTCAATATATTTTGTGAGTTCTCTATTAATATAATTCCATCAAGCAGCTCTTTCAAGTCTTTATACGTATTTTCGTCCCTCCTGTTTAATATAATTCCATCAAAATTTTGAAAACAAATCACGTGCGTACATACACACATGTATAGACACACATGTATATTAAAATATATATGTATACATACGGATATATAATAATGTGTATGTATTATGTACATATGTATACAGACATACATATCCATTAAGGTGCTTTCTGATCTCACCTTTTATGTGAAACATCCCCTAGGTTTATTATGGTTAGTATATACTCTTTGTTGAAATGACTATTCTACAACTATGTAATTTTACATGAACAATGAAAGAAAGTCATTTCTACATACGGGCAATGTATACTAAACATGCACGACAATAGTTAAAGCACATTTACTAAGACAGTCCATTAAATGTAGAATATGTATTGTAAAATTTACATGCCAGAAGTGTCCACAGGTAGGTAAGGAGTATCAGAAGCGTCATGCTGGATATATGACAGTGGCAGGCATGGGTATGGCCTGATGATTAAATATTCGTGCTATATGGATAATTTTTATGATCAGTGAAATAAGTACTTGTAACCAGTATCATATGTATACTAGAATGCATAAATAACACTTTTCAATTTTAGTTGTCTCATATTACTTGATCTATTCCACTTCAATATTTTTCAGTTTGTGTATGTGATGCAACTATGCCATGTAGGTATTTGGTGAGCTTGTTTTTGGCGGATTTTAATGCTTTGTTTCGCAAAAAAATAATTTGCAGGTTCTTAAAAAGGCGGACATGATTCGAAAAAATGCTGTTGAAAGTATATTGGCTGAACGTGATATCTTAATCTCTGTCCAGAATCCTTTTGTGGTGAGTTGCTATGGATTAAAGTTTATTGTTCTTCTCTATCAATATTAACTGATGAATTATTCTTTAACCGGGATATGCTTGCTTAAGGTTCGTTTCTTCTATTCTTTTACATCCCGGGAAAATCTATATCTTGTCATGGAATACTTGAATGGAGGGGACTTATATTCGTTGCTCAGAAATTTAGGCTGCCTAGATGAAGATGTTGCTCGCGTATATATAGCAGAAGTTGTAAGTTCAATTCTGCCAAGAGAAAAGTTATCTTTCCTGTGTTTTTTACACTTTATTTACTTCTTAAGTATTTTGCAGGTTCTTGCTTTGGAATACCTACATTCCTTGCAAGTGGTTCATCGAGATCTGAAGCCTGATAATTTATTGATCGCACATGATGGTCATATCAAAGTAAGTATTATGAAAATCACTCCACTTGTTGGTAAAGGGCTTGGGATTAGTTGTTCCTATCGCCCGAGCTATCATAATCCAGTATGTGCATCACACATCCTATGGGAACACATTGTTGTCATGTTCATACATTTTTGTGCATGGCCCTCCCTCCTTTCCCCTCTCCCTTACGGTCGAGCGCGTAAACCCCTTCGTGGTCTACTCTCTATTAACAACTTTTTGAATCCTATATGGATTATGACCTGGAACAGAATGTCATTACGAAATCAGCGTTAGTGTATTTGCTATACGCTAGATTGAAGAGAAATCTGTGCTTTTAAATGCAGTTCCAGCCTTGCCGGGGAAATGAGCTAGTCAATCCTCTTCCTCTTGAGTCGGAGAAATGGTTGAATAAAAGGCTACTGACCTTGGGTTATTTCACTCACAAAGAAATTAATCCGGAAGTTCTTTTGCTACACTGACTTCTAGTAGGTTCGTTATCCTCGTTTATTTTTTATGGAACGAAGAAAAGTTTTGCTTATCAAATGCTTCTTGGGAGAAATTTGTTATATCTGCACGTGTGGTTCAATCCAAAGCAGTATTGATTATGAGGACATCATTCGTTTTTATATTGCACATTCCATTGTTTATTTATTTTTCATTTCCAGATTTAATGCGGAAGTTGTGGGACTGTCTTATGTATTGGGCATGTAAAGATGTATGTATATCTTAGCCGAATTATAAAAAGGTAATATGTGGGTAAATTAACTTGATCCAGTTAGGTAAAAAGTATATTTTCAAACCTGAAGAATAACTTAAAAGAAATTCAAATTCCTCATGTGTACTTATTCTATTATTTCTGTCTCCATAGTTGGTGCTATTCTCCTTGATCTGTCCTCATGAAAACTTTCCCTCACCCTTAACAGTTGACAGATTTTGGACTTTCTAAAGTTGGTCTCATAAACAGTACTGACGATTTATCTGGGCCAGCTGTTAGTAGTGGTTCATCATTACTTGGAGACGATGAACCACAGATAACAGTATCTGAGCAACTGAATCAGCGAGAGAGAAGGAAGAAACGTTCTGCTGTTGGCACACCGGATTATCTAGCACCAGAAATCCTGCTAGGGACTGGACATGGTTGGTAAAACCAATTCAACATCATGGTTACTTGTCTTTTTCAGTGGACTGCTGCTGAAGAACTTTTGCCTTAATACTTACGTTGAGTTATTTTCTGCAGGTGCGAGTGCAGATTGGTGGTCTGTTGGTGTTATTCTCTTCGAGCTGCTAGTTGGTATTCCACCCTTTAATGCAGAGCATCCCCAGGTTAATTTCTGCGTTACATATTACTTTTACCATTATTTATTATTCACTGAGGAGAGGTTACCTCAAATGTATAAATGTCCTCACTCCTCATTATAACACAATTTATTTATAAGCTAAGAAATATGGACATGATATAATGCACGTGACAAATAGAAAATTCTAAAAGATCACTTAGATAAAACCGACTACACAATAAGAAGTTTCCTGTCCGATATACATGTCAGCTCTTGACACATGTCCAATATAATGGTTAAAGATAGGTGTCCATGCTACACTACTGGGTAAGACTTGTTTTCAGGTGCCATATCGTCGTATGCAATAACTTAGTGCAAAATATATATTCCTCTATTGATCCATCATTGTATAAAATGTATGTTTATCACAACCTTCTAGCTGCAGCCTGCATTGCACTTGTACAGGTGTTGGTTATGAACAGTGACGTTCTAGACGTTATACGGATGCACATATGTGAAATTCTCAAAACAAAGATACATGTAAATTGTGGATATGACAGTTTAGATTACGTGTTTATGGCTTAATGTAAAGGCAATAATGGTTAAAGATAATGCTATATAAAATATTTCCTAGTCAGATCAATCAGGTTGCTAGCCAACATAATTTTTACTAAGAAATGGTCAAAAGATAGTAATGCATCCAAGAATCTGATGGATTTATGGACCCCTTATTCATGCATTGGATTTTTAACTTCTTGCCTTTTGATCCAGTGATAGGAACACTTTATTTACCAAATTTGCCACTTTGGAAACTCTGACGCGACACTTGGACTCGTGTCTTCTACCTCACACTTCTAATGTAGAGAAAATATGACATTGTCATGTTTAAAGAACAGCACAGTTTAGAAAAAAAAAATCTGGAATGGATTTGTAAGGCAAGAATAAGGAAGTAAATAAGTTAAATTGGTTTTATGTTAGTCTTGTAAGCAACCGTAAAAATATCTGGAATGCTTTTGAATTATGTCTTAATGAGATAGGTCAAAAGAAGCGTATAATACAGCCTATTGCTCCTATAAAAATGGGATATAAATATGTTATTTAATTATATTTACATATGTTCTCCATGTTACCCTGTCCCTATATTTAAAAAGTGCTATGTCGGACACTTTAGGACATTGAGGTGCTTGATATCTGTTTCCCAAGTCCATATAACACTGCTCGGATCATATTTGTTATGTCTCGAACATGTGATAAAATTTATGATATTTCACAGGAGTCTTCGTTGGATACATTAAGCATCTGAGTATCTGGATACTGGATATGCAATGTAGCCTGCTAGATGAAAGAACTATCTTTAGTTAACTGCAGATGCTACTTTCTGGGTGCCGTAACCAATGGTCGGACTAATTATCTTCTAGCTTTTCCATTGTTCCACAAAACTCCCATTTTTAATGCAGTTTTGATTGAAATAATTGAGTGGGAAGCTTAAACTTAACTGGCCTCTGTCATGATACCATCTAGTAAATTTCTTTTAGTGAATAACCAGACTCGAAACAGCTCCTAGAAAGGTCATATTGAATATTATTATATTGTAAGACAATCAAGTAGATTGAGTGAAGGTTTAAAACTTCTTAATGTGTAAATGCTGTGCTCACAGGAAAGGGCATATATTTTTGTACTCCATATACCATGATAACATAGTGCATCTGGCATCTTGTTGACTAGCATGGAAAAGAACTACTCGTTTAATCCCTATGTGTTTTTTATTCTTGTAGACTATTTTTGACAATATTCTGAATCGTAAAATACCTTGGCCTCAAGTACCTGAAGAGATGAGCTATGAAGCGTACGATCTTATAGAAAAGTAAGCATCCAATACTCCTAAAATTTTCTTTAAGATGATTTGTCTCTTTTGGTGGACTGGGGAAGGGGCTTGCTCTGTATATTTAGACTGCAGTAATACACTATGAATGTTAATATGTCTACTGTCTTCGCCGACTTAATAATTCCTGAGTGTTATTTTGTAGATTTTGATTTTATACTTCTTTAAAAGCTGGATAAATTGATCTAGGATATTTTTAGTTCAGTATGTTTGAGCGAGATATATCCACTTTTTTCATCTGATATTTCATTTCCTAGGTTTCCGAAGTCATACGTGCTGGATAGAGTAGTATCACTTACCTTGCTATTATTCTCATGACTTCTCTAATATTAGTTACTTCACTGGTTCATGCCTCCATCAATCTTGCAGCAGTTTTAAATGTCAAAAGCTTTCAGTTTGTTCTCCCTTTTGAATATTATAGTGACGTAGATCTCTTATTAATTGTGCGCAATACTGTCCTGGCCAATGAAGACACGTGTAAGGGCCTGTTTGGGTGTCTTTGTGAAAATGAGGTATTTATGCCACAAGATGGAAAGTGGACACATCCACATAGGAACTTTCCAATTGAGTTTTCCTTGGTTTGGTTTGAAATCCAAAGGATTCATGGTCAATTTGCACTTTCCATCAAAATCCTTATGTTTTCGAGGGATTTCTATTTGAGTAGCTTTAAGTGCCACCTCATAACTTTTATGATTTCTAAAGATGCAACGAAACATGGGAAGATTTGGAAAGTTAAAAGATGGACCCCGCTATATGACAATTCTATGTTTTCTCTTCAGTTTACAGTTTACATGCGATACATGCAACCAAACAAGCCCCTAACAGATGTACACTATAGTATTTGAAACTCAAGCCATCATTCTATCGTACTCTATTTCACCATTACAGTTTTAAACCTTAATAGTGTTGAGAATTTATCAAAGAATTATATCTTAATTTAATTCATTTATTTTTTTTGTTTGCGAACTAAAAATTTTAAGCACAAGGGAGTATTTCTGATAACTATTATTGCAATTGTACATTAAGATCAATAGTTCGAAGATTATAGGTTACTCCTAATTCTGCAAATTACACACCATGGAATCATTGAATTTACAGGCTTCATGAGGATTTGCAGTCATTTATTTGAGAAGGGTAATAATTAGGATTCTTAATCATTTGATTAGGTTCTGTTTCTGCTAGAAGACATTTGCAGAAGCGATGCAATCTAGTAGCATCTTTGGCCCGAATTCTTGTAGCCGGGTACTCATTATTCGACCATTGGTATTACACTACTAGTAGATCATTCATTTAGTTTAGTGTTTTTTTAATATGCCAATTTTAATTTTCTCACTTAAGTGGTTTGTCATATAAGATAGCACCATACATTAACTTAATATCTTACCCTAAAATGATTAGGTCAACTGTTGTTGTAGTTCTGAAGTTTCCTTCCAAATACATTTTTAGATTATTAACAGAAGATCCTGAGCAGAGGCTTGGAGCTAGGGGAGCATCTGAGGTGATCTGCTTAACTAGTTTCTTCTTTTCATCGTTCAAAATTCTGAAATGCACAAATCTAGAACACTAAAGTCCTTGTTTAATAGGTGAAGCAACATGTGTTTTTCAAAGATATCAACTGGGATACACTTGCCAGACAGAAGGTTCTACATTATACCCTTTCTCTCATTCTGAATTATCCCTTTCTTCTATTGATTTAAAATGTTGGTCCATTGATGCTGAGAAATTTGCAGGCTGCATTTATTCCCTCCTCAGACAGTGCACTTGATACAAGTTATTTTGCTAGTCGTTTCCCTTGGAATCCATCAGATGAATTTATTAATGAAGCCAGTGAATACGAGGACTCCAGTGATAATGACAGCATGAGTGGAGGCAGTAGTTACGTTAGCAATAATCATGAGGAAGTGGTATGAACTGCCCTCTAATTATCCTGATTGTCATAAAATCCACTCAAATGTTACAAAATATCTGCTTAAGTCCCTAGACTCCTTTCCATGCTTGTGCTTACACCGCCTCACTCTAATCCTGAACTGAGTTGATGGCTGATGTTACTAAACAGGGAGATGGATATGGAAGTCTTGCAGAGTTTGAATCAGATTCATCTGTCAATTACTCGTTCAGTAATTTCTCATTCAAGGTAAATATTTATCTTAATGGCATCTACAGAAAGTTATGGTCTCTTAGTTATTGTATCACTCCCAAGATGTGCTCGCTTTTAAGTACATAAGGTCCTAATAGAGTGCCAAGTAAATTGCTTGATGATTAGACCTGAATTGTAGTATTTTGCTGTCTTTTTTCCCTATGTCTACGCAGAATTCCAAACCATTATCTCTTCACTAACACGTTCCTTTGTTGGTCAGAATCTTTCGCAGCTGGCATCGATAAATTATGATCTGCTCACAAAGGGCTGGAAAGAGGAAACACCATCAAAATCTAACTCATGAGGGTGACCCTCTTTATTGTTGTAAAATATCCATCCGGAGACCTTGCTGGTCTCATGAAGAGCTTGTAAATGTAAGTAAATATAAGTTGGAGCTCTTGCTTTAAAGCTCAAGCTCAGATTTCTTTCGTATTATTCCTCAATGCTGAAACCATGATCTTTACTTTTGCAGAGACAGGAACCGGCAACAGGAGACACATTTAGCAAACATATTGGCGTTGATTTATGGAGCGCCAATTTTTTGGTAGCCATTATTGGGTTTTCGGCTTTTCGGCTGCCCATGGTATATTCTGTGAAAAAATAATAGGAGATGGGTTTGTCCATCTGCTGTTAGCCTTTATATGAGATCCATATTTAACAAGGAAAATGGGCTGCATCCATCAACTTTGCTCTTCTGGGGCTAACTTACACAATACAATTGCAAATTTTGCGCTGCCTGTTTTGCCTCTTTTATTGCTGCGTTAGCAATGCTCTTCTTTGGCTTAATTCTGCTTTAATACCCCAAAGTTGCACCTAGTTTGAACTCTTAACTCCTCTTTAAGTTTATTCTTGTCCCTTTGATATCGAATGTTTCAGAAAATTGAATTTTGGTACTCTTCGGTAGGACACTGTTTATTATCTGTTAAATTTAGATCACGTCCTTAACAGATGAAATGGTCGGGAATTGTGAAATTTTGTAGTCACGTGTTGTTTTGGGGGGTCCGAAATGGGCGAGTCTTTAGGGTATCAAAGTGCAATCTAAGTGTTGTTCTATTGAAAAAAAGAGAGACGTTGAC